GTTCAGCCCTCGATGAATAAATCATTATGACGTATGCGATCAACTGCATACGTGCTCAGATATGGAGAAAGAGGATCCGAATCAATAATTCGTTTACTTCCACTTAATTCAACTAAAGGAAGTTAAAATTGCTGTGATGATCATTGCGTATAGAACGATCTTTATTAACGGTATCACTTTTTATCTTCCTTCACCCACCCACCCCGCACATCCCCGTCCCCCTCCCTCATGGCAACCAAAACACAGGACAGTGGTGGTCTCAAACTTGGATTGGCAGTGATTCATTCGGGCATTATAATCTATCAGGGTAATGCAAAAATAAACAGTTTCTCTTGGGCTCGTATACGCAAGTTAAGTTTCAAGCGTAAACGCTTCATCNAGTTGGATGCTTGTGCTTTTCTGATTACGTTTTTCTCTTGATTGAATTAATACCTGGGTTTCGCAGGCACACAAACACATGCGTTCACACATCCCGATTTTAAACTCAAGTTTCATATTTACAAGAGCAAAATAAGCCATCAAATTTGCATAGTATTGAATCTCCGTTTATTAGTAGTGCATACGAAATCCAACTCGATAGCTGAATTAAAAATAACGATAATTTTCATTGCAATTGTTAGGTAAACGTGACGCGTATCACGAATCCAACTCGGATAGGTTTCATCATTTCATTATCATAGACCGTTGCAACTAAAGCAGATTAATTTTGCAATATTCAGTTTGATCGATTCGACGGATATCTGCAACTGAACGGACACTCGTTGCGTAGTAAATAAAAAACTGATTCAAAATATTTCAAACCGAATCTTAACCCGGGACATTAGTTCTGAGATACGCAAGGTTTGACGCCAGCAACATGCTAACACGATAGGTTGAAAGCGATCTGACCAGCTATCTGGTTCTCACGTTTCTGGTATGTGTGCATTTACCTGTGGAGGTCTGGGTTCGGTTTTCCGTGGGCTCCGATGAATTCACACACTTGATGAGACCCAACCCAGCCTAAACAACTTTCAGTTCACGCTTCTTTTACCCTGTACACGAGGAAATTCAGTATATATCTAAAAATTATTTACAATCCAACGATATTGAGGCTAAATTTTTGGATATCTGGAAAAAGTGGTGAAATCATCTCCTCTTTAGATCAAAGGAAACTGTAGGAGAGCAGTTGACGCAGTTTTGCAGAATGCAACTTCAGGGACAACATTTTGAGTAAAAGTTAGTTTTCCGAACTGATGGCTATAAAAAAACAGAGCACGAAATTTTGTGAAAACATTTCTACCGTAAGTATTTTGATTAACGGAATGACCCTTACTGATTTTTTAATTCCCGCGGTTCTCGATCACGCTCAGCATGCTGAGGAATTTGTTTTCGAATCACGAGATGAATGCAAAAGCTTCTGGAAACAGTGCATAGAACACCATGCGTTCTTTCGATGTCAGGCTGTGAAGAAACCACCAAATCGGAGAGGTCGCATGGTTTCGAAAGGCTCTTCTTTTCGGTAAGTTTTCCTTGCATTGTAAAACGTGTCGAATCAATGAAACGTCCTGTAACTACACTTGTAGAAAAAGCTAATGAAGGTAGTTGTATTTACCCCCCCCTAGGCATATTTTAAAATTTGTCATTCCCCCTGTGTGCAAACTGAAGTGGATTAGTCGAGTTTTCTCTCCCAGATTTTCAACAGAAACTTGAATTCAGTAGCATTTATTTGTTTAAATGTAAACAAATGGCATTCTTTATTACGGCTCTCCAATTATCTTCGTACGATTATTAAGGTCTCTCTGATCCATTTGGCCATTCGGTACGGTCTTTTGCTGGTTTATACTCCTCACACAGATTAAAAATAGAAAAATTTCAGTCACACTGCACGTCTTGGTTGATTCACGCCCACTTTTTCTATAATCAGTCACATTCGCTTCCAGGACAGATGCTTCAGGAAACCAAGTCAGACAAAAGCAGTTTATCCCTCTATGCACCTCTCTGTACTAATCTAGAAGCATCTTACTTTATATCTAATATCGTTGATGAGGATATTTTTCCCATTTAACACAGTATTGTATCATCAAACGCTCGAGAGCCCTTGACAAATAAATAAAACGTAGCATAATCTTTCCGTTATATTATTGTGCAATGCACAGCCAATCCTGTGAAGCATTGGCATTTAACGATACAAGGAATGGACCGTTAAAGAATATGCATGCCGTCTTCTGTTGCACGCTTGAAAAACGTTCCACTGAGATGATAGCGGTGGTTTTCGATTTAAGTACTCTGGTGATTGAGTCTTTTAATTCGATGTTCCTACTTTTGTTAAGAAACGTCCCCTCCCCTCCACACACACACACTTGAAAGCACAGCTCTTTTCCATATTGAATCATGTCAAGTCAAGTAAAGCTTTATGCACCCGATAGGATGAATTTTCAGCATTTTAGACATGTTACAGTAGGGAAAACGTTAAGTATTGGAAAAAGAAGAAATATACATTTGCTAAATGACAAACAAACGGATTTAGGTAAAACCCTAATGTGAGAGATGATTGTTCAAGTCAGCAACAATATTTGCTCGGTTGATCAAGATGCGAGCAAAATAAGGGATCATGCTGTTTTTATGTGGTGGTGCGTGCATAAAGAATCCGAAATTGGGAACGGGTACTCGGATGAGAGACGGATTTATTGAGATGGGAGTGCAGACAGTGTTCTTTGTTGGACAAGATATGACTGATAAATCGATCGCATGAGTCAAAATGCTTGCTCACAATAAAGTCAATTATTCGACTTCTAGTGCTTTTAACTCAACCCACTGCGGGATTGCAATAAGTTGCTGCGCCAAGCTTGCACAGGTTGATTGAATCACAATCACTAATTGACTAAGCGCCATTTAATCGGCACTCTCAATGCAACTCGTCTCTAAATAGCTCGTAATCACGGCATTATGATCATGATTTCTCCCATTCAACCGACTATAGAAGGCAAATCCAGATCTGCTTTCATAGTTGAATCGTCTCAACACTAGATTATGGTCATAGGTATGAGGGACTTCAATTTCTGGGCTTCTTTTAGGACTGCAAACAATACCCGTGTAATGCTCACTCATAAACAATGATGGGATGACAGATTATTTGGAGTGTGGTTGGAGTACATACTTGACGACAATATGCCCAGACCGGGCACAACCATATAAAATACTTGCACATGCCACCAAGTATCTCCAACCACCAATATGGGCTTAAGCAGAAGGAAAATAAGTTAACATTACCTCTTTGTTATGATGTTAGCTTTAATCGTCATATCTTTTAATTCCGTTAGAGTAACCCTAATGGAGTGTGGGTGGCTGAAAAAACAACAGTACTACCAATTATATTTTACAAGCCCCTCAGTGCTACTCAACAAACAAAATTCAGTTGAAGTAATGCTCCCGAGAGCTTGTTTTTCAAATGCTACCCGAGTCATCTACGCCGTCAGTATGATATTTCTTTAACCGTTAGCCTACGAGTATATTCCACATCAGCTCAACTGTTTTTGCGGTATCTCCAAAGCGATGCCTTTGTTGGAAGAAAATGCAGTGAATCGAACGTTTTCGTATATTTTCCTAGCTCACACATTCATATTAAGCCGATCTATTCCTCATAAGTTTTGAGCTATTGATATTGCTGCGGGACAGAAACCAAACCCCATACAGTCGCATGTCAAGGTAATCATTGTAGAACTGATTTTACGAATGCTTCAACTCAAAATCTCTCAAACACATTCAGGCAAAACGCGGATGCAGACGAAAATCTTCTTAACTTCGAATGCACCAAGTGACTCACAGAATCGGAAACGAACTGCTGGGAGTAGGAAATTCAACTGTGGTTTATTTGCACTTACTCGAGGCGGTTATGTCAAATGACAAAACGTGATCGCAACTGACTAGATCATCCCCTCCCCCGTTCTGAATCGTCTGTGCATGGAGCAATGAAAGTGGATCGTTTTGTTTCGGCCATTTGCTGGCAGAACAAACTAAGTGATAGATTCCGGTTATTGCAAGATAGACTTAAGCGGCGGTGACAAAACACATTTTATCTGGCTGAATGCGTCAAGTCTGTTTTTGGGAAACACGTGAAGAATGCAAGCATCTCATTCTGCCCCAGATAAAACCAGCCATTTCAAATGTGAAAAATACGAAGAGAATCAGTTCAGAAAAGAACAAATGGGTTCAAGGAGAGTCAAGTAACCATGTGATAGTGCTTACGGTTTCAAACCTCAAGTTCACATTTCGAAAATAAACACAGCAACTTTCGGATGGTTATTTACCCATACAGCGGGTCCTGTCCAGTCTTACCTTGTATCCATGCTTTTATTCATGAGTTGGTGATGAAGGAACCGAACAGCCTGGAATTTACAGAATGATTCAATCGCACCTGACTAACACACTTCGCGTTAGCTAAAGATCTAATTTGGTCTCATTATGCCATTTCCTACCTTCATGAAGGGATGAACAGAAAAAAATGAAGTTTACTGGGCACAAAGGAATCGAGGGGGTATAATGCTATTTTTCGAATTTTTCATTTTTCATTCCTTTTATTGAATACATAATGATACAAAGGGCTGTCATACAACAAACTTCCCCCGGAGTGATAATTTCGTGACGTTACCACCGGGCCATCTCCACACACCGGATGCAATACACAAATTCCTTTCTGGTTAGGGACGCATATCATGGAACTGTAGGTTTCATATTCCTTTGATGGCAAAACTAATTAAAAAACTTTCTTTGCAGTTGATTTTTACAATGATAACCCACTATTTTCAATCATCGGACCCTGAGCTTTTCTTTATTTACGAAGTAGCCGGGTAGCAAGATACCGAATTGATTGATATTTGAGGAAGGATATGAATCGTGTGTGAATGATATCTGTTCATCTATTAAGAAGAAACGCAGATTCGCACCTGGTCAATGAAGTTCAAAAACTAACATGTGGCTGTAATAATTGTTCAAAGCACTGTCAATCACTTCCCATGCATCTGTCGATTTTCTGTATTATATTCATATAAACCTTCCTGGCTTCTTCAAGGGGATTTTTTTCCTTATGCAGGAGACTTGCTCACATAGGCCGCAATAGACTTCCTTAATGGGGATTCTGGGATCATCGTAACCGGTGATTAGAGACACTGAACGATATGACTGAGTTTCGCAATTAGTAGCTCTCGTGCATCCATTCATTATCTTTTCAAGCTTAGTTTAAGGGAATTATCAATCTTTCAATTCTCTATCTTCTCTGAATCTGCTTG